AAATATTTGTTCTCTGGGAAACGGACACGGACGTAAGTATCACCAGCACCGCACGTGAAAAATAATTTCCCCACTGAGAAAATTCATGAAAGCAAGTCGGAAAGCTCTAATAACACAAATCCAACACATCTTTGTAGTAACGCGAATGTCCATGTTGTTTTCACATTCCGACTTAAACGCACAACTCGGGAAATGAGAGCATCCGAGGAGCACGTGAATGCAGCAACAATCACATTTGCTCTGATGGCAGCAGGTATACCATTAGCTAGCTAAGCTAAACATTCTTAAATTAAAATGCCAAAAGCTATGCCTGTCCATATTAGGGATTTCCTGAGTTCTATTCCCTCTGTTATGCATATGTGGAGTTTCTGCACGAGGGCACCCTCTGGCGTCCAGTATGAATGAAACAGACATTAAATGTGTTTATAGCGCTCAATAATGGCCAATCCATCCTATTTTGGGTAATTTTATTTTATTTTTAAAAATATCGGTTCAGGATTCGTTTAGGCACCGGTACCATTTTAAAAGTATCGATTTGGCACCGGTATCGGAAAAAACCCAAACGATACCCAACCCTATTCACAGATGCTGAGCTGCGTGGGATTTGAATGTGAGCTGAGGTAAGATGTAAGCAGCTGAATAGTTCACCTAAAAATGAAAATTAGGCTGTGTTTTACTCACCCCAGAGCCATCCTAGGTGTATATGACTTTCTTCTTTCAGACGAATCCAGTCGGAGTTAGATTAAAAATTGTCCTGGCTATTCCAAGCTCTATCATTGCAGTCAGCGGGTGTTGCAGTGCTTCAGTCCAAAAGAAGTGAAATAAAAAGCATCCATCCATAAAAAAAAAGTGTCTCACACGGCTCCCGGGGGTGAACAAAGGCCTTCTGTAGCGAATCGATGCGTTTTTGTAAGAATCCATATTCAAATCACTTTCATCTAGCTTACGCTCACTGTTGTAAACGGAAGCAGTTCCGGGCGGATGACGCGGATGACGTGCTTTGCGCATGCGCCGCTCAGAAGTGACGAACGTGGAAGCGCAGGGGAGAGATCAAAACAAAACAACGGTCACTAATTAGAAGTACAAAACAAGGATTTGTAAAGAAGAATGTCGGAGGATTTCAATTTAAGCCAAGAGGAGACTGGTTTTCCTTTCCTTTAAAGTAAGGAAACTTTGCTTCCTTTGCTCCTATAAACAAACTCGCGAGACTAGCATATCTCAGGCTGCGCATACGTCATACGCCTACCGCCGGAACGCCTTCCGCGTATGAAAGATAACGGAAGTGAGAGAAAAGTGTTTATTACGTTTGAAATATGGATATTT